GATGGCTGGTGTTTTAACAAGATGGTGATGCCCTGATTGAGGCCGTGGCAGAAAATCGGATGTCTTCTCACAGAATCATAGAATATTAAGGTTGGAAGGGAACTCAGGAGGTCATCTACTCCAACCCCCTGCTCAAAGCAGGACCAGCCCCAACTAGATCGTCCCAACCAATGCTTTGTCATGCTGGGCCTTAACCTCCAAAGATGGAGATTTCACCACCTCTCTAGCTAACCCATTCCAGTGCTTCACCACCCTCCTAATGAACACGTTTTTCCTAATATACAACCTAAACCTCCCTTGCTCTAACTTGAAACTGTTGCTCCTTGTTCTGTCATGTCACCCACTGGAAACAGTCCAGCTCCATCCTCTTTGGATCCCCCCCTTCAGGTAGTTGAAGGCTGCTATTAAATCTTCCCCCCCAGTCTTCTCTTCTGCAGACTAAATAAGCCCAGTTCATGGACTGAGCTATCCTAACACCTCTCGCTGGTGACTCGGATATGTAATGGGCAGTGGGGCAACTTAGAATGTCTATTTTGCTAAGCTCTTTTGTGGACTCGGCAAAATCATTTCTAATGTGGCAGCCTAGTCACAGAACATGGATCTTCCCTTCTGTTTGGAGGAGCTGAAATGACCAGGCTAGTGTGCAGCCTCCAAAAAACTGGCCTGTGTGTGGCTACCAGGAAGAAGGGGGGGTGGAAAAACTCGTACCATTCCTGGCAAGTGTTGCAGAAACCTGAAGAATCTGAGATGGATTTCCTTGTAGAAAGAGATCCACAGTATGAATTTGGATGTTTCTGCCAGCTCCTAAGTAAAAGTCCTGGGTAGCAGGTGTGACACATGGGGATGCACGTGGCAGTGCACCCCCTGCAAAAAGGTGCCACCAATGCTGCTGGCGGCACCTGTGGGCAGTTGCCACTCACCACCCTGGCACTGGCACCACCAGCGGTGTCTGCAGACGGTCCCTGATCACCCCTGGCCGCCACTGCCAGTGGCGCCTATGGGTGGTTGCTGACCCATGGTCAGCGCTTGCCACCCCCACCACCGCCAACAGTGCCGGTGATGTCTGTCTGTGGCAGCTCCCTGCTGCCAGGCTCCCGCTGCCACCACCACGCTCCCACTACCAGCAGCACAGCCATGCCCCCACCCCCCAACTACTGGGGCACGTGCCATTCATGCTGAGTCGGGGAGGCTCTGAAAGCTGTTTTCTAGTTCAAAGCTTGGTCCTGGGATATGACTAAACTGCATTAGACTGGAGAGCTTGGTGGCAACATGGTGGAGCTACTTGTGGCAGGGTAGCTCCTATAAAATACTACCATGTTGCAATCTCCAGAGTAAGGGGAGTATAGGGTGCCTCAAAACCCTAGCTCCCACTGCCTTGTGGGTACTTCTGGGTTCGAGAGGCTAAGGGACAGCATCCTGACAAAGGCACCTTCACTGAGGAGTTAGGCAGTCAGGACCAGTTCTTGTCTGAGTTCTGGCAAAAGCTACAGCCATCAAGGCACTGACTGTCTGGATTTGGTCTGGCCTCTGGATTTTGTCTCAATGGTCTAAATGGGCATAATAGGTCTTGGGCAGCTTCCATGCCTCCATATTCTTGCCTACATGTACACGTCTAAGGTTTTGGTGTGATGGTTGCAGGACTCTATACAAGGTAATTCATCAGACACCTGACTTAGACCTCTTGTGTGTACACCATGATTCAGACAATCAATGGTTGGTTGCCTGTTGGTTCAAAACTGAACATCTTGACAGATGGCTGTGATTCAGGGGCGTGTTCTATTTGTTTGTAAATGCCTTGACACCTACCTACCTCAATGTGGAGATGGTCCCTGGAAAGGGGATCCTGCTGCTGCTGCTTTCCAAAATATCTGAGCTTGCATATGGCTGGTACAAGCTCTAACTCCCCTCTTGCTTGTGATTCCTACAGGGTTGTTATGAGCTTATCGCCGGACCAATGGACAGACATGCCTGGGGTGTAGCTTGGTTTGGCTTTGCCATTCTCTGCTGGACTGTGAGTACTAACTCTGCTATTTTATTTTTTTTCACTGTTCACCCAACATAAGGGTGAAGAGTGTGTGGTGTGGGTGAAAGGGCTGCCACCTAGAGAACAATTCTTTCAACCTTGCAATCCTTCCAAGTGGATGATAATGGGAATGTGCAGGGAGGGCCTCTCTTCCCTTCCCTTTTTTTGAAGGGCGGTTTCCAGATAAAGCTGCTCTTCAGGCCTCTGTCCCAAAAATAGCCCCACTTCTAGCCCATTCACTGTGCAAAGAGGGTCAGTGGTATTTAGGGTTAATAGCAGAGAGATATATGTCCAGTCTTTGAGCACAGCCTGCTGAAACTGAAGGACCTCTGCTAAGGCAGGTAAGCTATGCTGGGCATAAGTTTTTAGCAAGGGGTTGATTGCACAGCCCATGAAGTGAAACTACTTGCATGAACAACCTAGCTCCATTATTCCATGCACACCTAGATGAGGAGGGATGCCAAGAGCATATTTATTCAATGCAGATGTTCACTTAAGTGGCTGTCACTCCATAATGGCCTCCCAAACACTTTTTTGTGGGGGGCTGAGGTCTCTCTTGTAGAGAAGCATCCATTTTCCTTTGGACACCTCCAGTACAGGGGTACTATGTGACAGCTTCCAGCTTCAAAGCTGTCTGGGCTGGAGTCATGCAGTAACTGCAGAAGCAATGCTATTTGTGTTGGGGAATAGATCATCCTCGTATGACCTAGTATCATAGAAAATGGGTCACCAAAAACCTCTACATAATCTGTAAAACAAGCATGAGAAATACTTAAACAGCAGATAAATTCTAAACTGGTTTTAAAACTTTCCATAAAAACCACAGAACCAAATAACTTGTCTGTTTTAGCTTCTGTATCAAAGAGTTAAAGTCCTCTGTACAGACTTTCAGATTCCTGTAGTTCCTTGGAGCTGATTCTGTTACAGGAATCCTTGACCTAATTCAGCGGAAAGCTGACAGTGAAGAAAGCTTTGAGAGAGTCCCACTAAACAACCTCTCTTTCCTTTCAGTTCTGGGTTCTTCTCTGTACCATGTTCTACTGGAGCAGAATTGAATATTGAAGGCACAGCATCTTCCAACAAACTTCCAAAAGTAGTGCATGGAAGAAGCGTTAATTTTGATATCTCCATATTCCCTCTGTATTGGGGAGGATTTGAGGCTCTAGGTTATTTTCCCCTTCCATGTACGTGCTTCCCCAAACACCTAACAGATGAGTCCAATGAGCTGACACCTCCACAAAAGAAACTCCTCTCCCTAGACTCTGAGTTTTTTTTGTTTGTGTTTTTAGTTTTGAGTTTTTTGCAGCTTTCATGCTTATGAATGGATCCTTTTTTTTCCTCTCCTCCTCCCTCACTGTTCTGAACCCTTTTGGAAAATGAGGTTACAAGAAATGATCTAATCCTTCTGGTGATGGCTTTAGAAGGGGAATGGCCTATGTATATACTTGCTCCAGAAAACCCTTCTCTCTAAACTAAGACTTTTGTAAAAGACATCTGGAACAAATGAGATGCAAAAGACTTGTGTAAGGTACAGGAAAAATACTGGGAACTCCTCTGACCAGTAGGTATGGATACTGCTGCCTTTATTCCCTGCAAGAAAGGGGAAATTTAGGCACAACACTGCCAAAAAAAAAAAAAACCCTCTCTGAATGCATCTTAATTTCAAGGTTTGGTTTGCCAACTTAATTGGAAACATACCTGTGTCAACAGGTAGAAAATGACATCGAAGATGAAAGTTTCTAGTCAGTCCATTCCAAAGGTTGTTCTCCATGGTGCAGTATGCTCCCTACATTCAGACCTACTTCTACTCACTGGCTAATTAATGCAAACCTATTTGGTATAGATTAACCACCACTGTAATTCTTCATTTCCTAAGAGTAGGACTCATTCAGGGAACAACAGAAATATTTTTTGCCTTGATGAAGAAAAATCTTGCACTGAGATGTCAGAGGGGAATATATTGTCCCTCTGCTTTTGCCACTTCCAGCCTACTCTATCTTTCTACATCTAGCTCTCCTAATTGGGTAGGACATTAGTGGCAAAGGGAATTAATCTCTTTTTATTCATGTTTTGTCCATGACTGACTTGCTGCACCCCATTCAGTCCTTGCATCAGCAGATTACAATTCCCACTTAAGTCAGAAAAAGGATTTGTTTACAGTGGTCTCTTTCTGTTCCAGTCGGTTTCTTAGTATCCTGTGACTTAAATTATGCAAAACATGCTCCTCTACAGAGTGTTTTGTTTTCTTTTTTTTAAGATGAAACCTACTGCTGAGCATGCTGGGTTAGCTCCTAAGAGCTTGCTAGCTGCCCAGATTAGTGTTTTGTTTTTTGTCTTTTGGGGGGG